ACCTTTACATCAAGCATGGGCTCCGTCCCTTAGAGTGCAACCATCCTAGAATGGTAAATTCACCCATTTGAAAAAATCCTTAGAAAGAACACATTTTGTCTATGTTCCTTGCATTCACTAACAAAGTATTTCCTTGTCAATGACTCAGCATGATGGCAAGGGTATGTGACAAAGACGAAACTAGTTGGAAGACCAGTTTCTAGATAATAATAAACAAACATGCCATGGGAATTTCTTTCCTGCTATGAGAAGAAAGAGAAGAGTAAACTTGTGAACGAGGAAGTTTACTTAAATAAACCATGCCCTTGGGTGTACCAAAGACAAAAAGAAGGTAACAAACAAAGATTTTATACTTTGAGGAAGCTTATTGACTTGAAAAATCTTCAAAAGTGAAAGATAAACTAATGAGGCAACTGCCCTTCTAGCCCACCCCTTTGTTGGTAGTTTTCCCATTTTTTTCTGGACAGTCCATGTCCTGCTTATCAATGTTAGTCTTCGTAACAAAATATGCCACCAGTTAAAAGGTGGAAATGCAAAAATTCCTTTAGTTCCTAACCTTACTTTCATCTGCCATTTTAAGCATTATCCTTAGCCATCTACCGCAAATCAGATCACCCCACAGAACCATGTGAGTGAGAAATGGCCAGATGGGTGGGATTTCATTCTGTTTTCAATAGCCCCACACTTCCAATATCATTCTATTCTAGACCTCTGTCTATTGAAACCCTTTTAGTCTATTCTGCAAACTTGCAACATCTATTCTCCTTTCAGGACCTGTCTCGGGGCTTTCCGTAATGAATCAACACAACTTGAATGAGAAATGTGTTATCAAATCATAAAATAATCATAAAATAATAGCATTGGAAGATGGGCTATCTAGTCCAACCCCATACAGAGAGCCAGAATGGTGTACTCTTTGAGCTACAACTCTGGAGACCAGGTTCTGAATTCTTGCTTACTCATGAAATCCAATGGGCAAGTTACAATCTCTCAGCCTCACAGGCTTCTCAACAAATATTGCCAAGACAAGGTCACCATAGGTTGGAAATGACCTGAAGACATATAACAACACCAAATGTCTTACATAATTTGTGGTGAAGCACAGGAAGTTCAACTCCTTACTCCCTGTATTACATCACTATTTTCCTCTTGTAGGAGTTTAACATCTTGGTCTGATGAAGAAGTCAATGAAGCTTCGAATGCTTAGGTAATTTATTTTAGGATTTGCAGTTGGGACAATGACAATATTGTGACATGTAGATTTTGTATTTTGTTCCATCAATGAGAGGAAAATAAGTTGAAGAAGAAGAGAAAATGAAGTGGGGAAGCAGTAGGAACTGAGTGCAGAGGAAAGAAGGAAATGTATTTATTGTCCACTGAAAAGGTTAAATACTTTGGAAAGATCTCCTGGGATAGTGAAACATAGGGATGATGTCATTCAGTGCTCTAACTTAGCCGGTATTGCACCACCTGACATCTGCCGGGAAGTAGCAGCCAATAGTGAAAGGACCAAGGCAGAGACATCTCCAGCTCATCCCCTGTTTGGGTATCAGCCAGCACGTCAACGACTTAAATCTAGAAATAGTTTTCTAAGATCTACAGAGACACTGGCTGGAACACCTCAGCAAGCGAGAGTCCAAAAGTGGCAGGCTCAAACCCAGAACCTCAACCAATGGCTGATACCAAATGAGAGACTCCCCCCTGGGCACACAGAAACTGGGCGACTTGGAAGGCGCTGAACAGACTGCGCTCTGGCACCACGAGATGCAGAGCCAACAAGAAATGGGGCTACAAAGTGGAATCCTCGACATGCGAGTGTGGAGAAGAGCAAACCACTGACCACCTGCTGCAATGCAACCTGAGCCCTGCCACATGCACAATGGAGGACCTTCTTGCAGCAGCACCGGAAGCACTCCAAGTGGCCAGATACTGGTCAAAGGACATTTAACCAACTACCAAACTCACAAGTTTTGTATTTTTCTGTTTGTTTGCTTTGTTCTGTTAAAAATGTAATATAATGGACTGGTTGCTCTGACACGACAAATAAATAAATAAATAAGTGCTCTAACTCTTAATTTTTAAAATATGTGATGCATTTTTTATTTGTGAGGCATTGAATTTTGCCATTATTACATTGTGAGCCATTTTGAGTCCCCTTAAGGGACGAGAAAAGCAGTATATAAGAGCAATAAATAAATAAATAAATAAACAAATAACACAAAGTGTCTTCTGCTTCTGTCTTCAGAAAAACCTGAGAAATGAGTTGCTAGTTTAAGGCCTTGCAAATGTTGTTACTAATGATATCGAGCTAGAATTTAGAGGTTCCCACCCAGGAGATTTGAGCCCTTAGATCCACCAAGGAGGATCTGGTACTCTGGTGAGCGAAGAAAAAAGAGCCAAAAGATTTTCCCTGAATTTTTCCAATTAAATCTCACCAAAGTTGATAAAAAGCCACCGAGTTGTATTTATTTCGTCCAGCTGGAACGGATGTCAAACCGCGATACTTCATCAGGAGAGACATACATGCAGTGAATTTTAATACATTTTTATAGAAAACAGAGCTGTCAAATTTCCCACCCCCCACCCCTCAGCCGGCATCTCCCTGATTGGCTGTTGTCATCAGCTGGAGGGGAGGCACCAGTCAGAAAGCCAGCGCCGCTTCGAGCTCTCAGCCAATGGGAGCAGAGGAGGCGGTCCTTGGGAATAACAATGAAGCAAATGTCCAGATGATTGATTTAAAGTGACTTAATGTGTCCAAATGACCAGCGATAAATCTATGAATAGATTCCTCAAGCTGGTCAAGTTTCTTGAAAGGTTGAGATATGCAGATATGGCTGACACGATTGCCCAGTCCTGGTATTTCCCGGTCACAGATATGAGTTCCAGGTGGCTTCCCCAAGCGGTCCTGCTCCGAGACTCGAGGGGGCTGGGTTATTGTCATGCAATCAGTCCTTGCTTGAAACCTTGAATCAATAGGGATAAGCCTTGGGAAATGGATTACCCAAGGCTGATGTTATGCTGGAGGTCACGAAAAGGTGGCTTTCCATTTTATATACAAAACATACACGCAGGGTCAGGGAGATACATAAGGAATAATAAAGCATAAGGGAATTTCATATACACCCATCCCACCCACCAGTGTCCAAAAGAATAGAAATCATATCATCCCTCAGTCATGAGAAGGGAATCCATAGGGCTTGGGGAAAAGTTCCATAAAGTTTTCAAAAGTCCTTGGAAGTTTGGGGAAGTTGTTCAAAGATGTAAAATCCTGGAAAGGCAAGTGGGAAGAGGTGTCCCCATGTCCACAGAGTCCTTATGGCCGTCCACCAACGCTGAGGATTGAGACCCATGGAGAAAACTACAGATCCGTCCACACCAAGGACCAAGGCGGCCCGCTGACATCTTAGGGATTCCATGGGTTGACCGTGACAGTTTCTCAGGATCAGCAGGCTCCTTAGACATCCACAAAATGGTGGCAGCGAGGCAGCATCTTCAGAAAAACATCTGGACTCCAGGATATGGTTTTGGGGGCAAAAAAGGTTATTCCCGGGGTGGAAAAGACAGCGGAGCAAAACCAAGATAGCCATTAGTTTTAGAATAATCCCAGGAGAAGATTAACACCATTTTCGAGGTGATCCGTTGACCCGCGGGGCCTGAGGGCGTTTCCGTATCCACAAAAATCGCATCCCAGGAGGGCCGGCAGCCATCTGCAGCCCGGGAGAGAGAAGGTTTATTAAAAAAGAATTGAGGCAGTAAAGGGACACAAAGTAACACCATGGAGAGGGAAAAGGTTACAATTAATTGATACTTTTTATTGGGGGGATTAGTTACAATGTTAGGAAGGGGAAAAGGCAAAGAAATGAGAAGGCTTCTGAGTTTCAGCTGCTGCTGTGCCCACGTTCATGCGGTTGGCCCAAGGGGCAATGGAGAACTGAGGAACTTACAGGCAGGGAGATCAACTTGAAGGCAGGGAGTTCTGGGTTCGGCCTCACTGTGTCTCCTATCAGCCTCACTCAGCACAGTAAGTGATGAAGAGTGATGGAAGGTTCTATTCAACAAGATCTGTAAATACCTCAGTTCATCAATACCTGCACTTGGACCTTCATAATAGTAGCTAGATATGTAGAGAAACTGAAATGCTACTTCTGAGTTCATGATTGTGAATGTGTGATTACTGGCCATGTTGTCCAAATGCCCAATCATAGTTTCCCAATGCAGTTAACGTATTTTATTGTCAGCTCATGAGTCAAAAATGGAATACCGTTGAACAGTAAAAGATTTAAAGATGGGCTGAAGCTAACCTTAAAAAATGTAGAATAAACACCAAGAACTGGGAAGCCCTGGCCCTCAAGCATTCAAACTTGAGGCCAGCTGTTAGCAAGAGTACTGTGGATTTTGATGAGGCACAAATAGAGGATGAAATATTTAGAGCCAGTTCCAGAAAAGGAAACACCCCGTTCATGTAAAGTGAAACTGGTTGAGCTGCTCACTTGTTCTTTCTTGCCAGGAAGAACCCATGGCTGCTGCTGAAGATCTCCTTGATGAACTGACTTGTCCCATTTGCCTGGACTATTTTGAGGACCCCATCACCTTGGCAGAATGCGGGCACAATTTCTGCCGGTCCTGCCTGACACAATGCCATGGAAGAAGAAGAAGAAGAAAAGCTGCCTGTCCCCAATGCAGAAAACTTTTTCAAATAGAAAACCTCATTACAAACCGGCACCTGAGGAATGTGGTGGAGATTGCCAAGAAAATGCAGGAAGGGAGAGGGAAGGAAGGAGGGGGGCATGTCTGCGAGAAGCACCAGGAGCCCCTGAAGCTGTTCTGCAAAGAAGATGAAGTCCTCATCTGTGTGGTGTGTGACAGAGCCAAGGCGCACAAGGCCCATGAGGTTGTTCCTCTGGAAGAGGCTCCCCAGGAATACAAGGTCAGAAAGAAGCAGGGCAAAGCCTCGTGGCATTTCCAGGGGTACATCTACACTGTAGATATAATGCAGTTTGACCCCACCTGAACTGCCATGACTCAATGCTATGGAATCCTGGAAGCTGTCCTTTGATGAGGCCCCAGCGCTCTTTGGCAGAGAAATTTAAAGACCCTGTAGAACTACAACTCCCTTGATTCCATAGCATTAAATCATGGCAGTTCAAGTAGCGTCAAGCTGCATCAGTTAATTTTCTCTAGGCCATGCAAATCATTTTGGACTCCAGCATTAGTTCAAAGCTTTCTTTCATGCTGCAGTTCAGTATGTTATTTAATTATTCTATTGTTTTTAAATTGTTAGGTTTTTAAATGCTTTTCTGTAAGTTTCCCTGAGGTTGTTCATATGTGTGTGTAAGGGGGGTGGGTGGAGTGTATAAAGATTTCAGTAAGTCCATAACTGCACAAGGTGAAACGGTCCCAAGCCATTCCACATAATGCTAAAAATCATGTTTTCACTGTGGGGGCCTAAAGGAGAGATCTCTCCAGCGAAACTATGCAGATTCGACTAACATGATTTTACTCAATCCATTTTAGCACAGTTATGTAGATATATAGTCTGCCCTCTGTGTATTTACCTTTAGCAACTTACCTTTAGCAAGTTCTATTATAAGGGCTTCTTACCAAGTTCTGCTCAAAGGGCATTGTTTTTGCCTCTCTCTAAAGGTTGGGAAAGTGTGACTTGTCTAAAGTCACCCAGTGAGTTTTCATGACCAAGCAGGGATTCAAACCCTAGTCTTCAGATGTAAACCACGACATTAGGCTGACTATCTTCAGACATATTTCTAAGAATACTGACTTTATTAGTGACCATATACAGTCAGTTCTTCACATTATCTGGGTTTAGGGGCTCAGTGAAAGTGGAAAAGGCTATAAGTGGAAAACATCTCTAGGAATCTCTAGATCAGTAGTCTTAATCTTCCTAATGCTGTGTCCCCTTAATACAGTTCCTTTTCATTGCTACTTCATAAATGTAATTTTGCTACTGTTATGAATCATAAATATCTGATATGCAGGATGTATTTTCATTCACTAGACCAAATTTGGTACAAATACCCAATACACCCAAATTTGAATACTGGTGGGGTTGGGAGGGGATTGATTTTGTCATTTGGGAGTTGTAGTTGCTGGGATTTATAGTTCACCTACAATCAAAGAGCATTCTGAACTCCCCCAACAATGGAATTGAACCAAACTTGGCACACAGAACTCCCATGACCAACAGAAAATACTGGAAGGGTTTGGTGGGCATTGACCTTGAGTGTTGGAGTTGTAGTTCACCTACATCCAGAGAGCACTGTGGACTCAAACAATGATGGACGACATTTGGCATGAATACTCAGTATGCCCAAATGTGAACACTGGTGGAGTTTGGGGAAAATAGACCTTGACATTTGGGAGTTGTAGCTGCTGGGATATATTGTTCACCCACAATCAAAGAGCATTCTGAACCCCACCAATGATAGAATTGGGCCAAACCTTCCACACAGAACCCCTACGACCAACAGAAAATACTGTGTTTTCTGATGGTCTTTGGCAACCCATCTGACAGCCCCCTCACCACCACCCCCCCAGGGGTCCCAACCCTCAGGTTGAGAAACACTGCTCTAGATCCTCCAGCATGATTATGGGCAATGTCAGGTCAAGGTTCACTGGAGATCTTTGAGAGAACACAAATGTGTAGATCTGACTGTATGTAAATAGAGACCTCAGATCTCTCATGTCCACTTTTTGGTTGGGTTTCCACTGTGATATTGTTTTTCCATTAAATAATAAATAATTCTATGAACTCAGGGGAACGGGGGATGATATCATAATCTTGGGAATTTGATGATGTGAGCCTTGCTGCTTTACACCACTGGATTATCCTTGTGGGTTTCTTTAAAAAAAACCTACCAAACTGGAGCTTGTATTTTGTCCTTAGGAAAAGATTGAAAATTATCTGAAGAGTCTGAAGAAATTGCAAAAGGAAATGTGTGCATTGAAAACTCAGACAGACACAGAAAGCCAAGACCTGCTTGTGAGTATTCTCAGTAACTGAAACCGATACCATGAACACGGACCACAAGACACCGCCCTATGCTCTGTATCAAGTGGAGGGTCTAGTTCTGAACAAAAGCAGGTGGCCCTGGGTTGCATTCCTGAGCTCTCTGGTGAACTCCTAATGATGTAATGTATTTTTGGCCTATCTCATTCCTTAATAATAGGCAGAACAATTAGTCTTTCCTCATTTCTGACCACATTCACTCAGAAACCTATGACATCTGCAGTCTATCCATCATTTAGCCGATTTCATTACTCAAACGATTTCTGTAACTAACGTGAATTGCAGGGTCCACAACACTGGACTGAACACTGAAGTCGAGCATATTGGAAATCCTTTCCATCTCACTGTTCAATACTGAAATTAAGGACCTAATCAGAAAGGCCACTAGAATCGCCATGCATTGTGATGAATCCAGTGGTGCCCATCAGGGGGCGTGATGAACCACATGCTCCACATTGCCCAGCTTACCCACAGTAGTTTACCCACAGAGCCCCACTAGAAGTTCCTCTGCATTGTGGGATGGGAGCCGTCCAGTTCCATGGGTAAACTATTCTGAACCGACACATGCTGCTAAAGTAAGCCTTGTTTGATGAGGTCAAATGACCTTGATAGAATTGCCAGCCCTGCCAGCCAGAAAATCCCAAAGAGCATTCAGAAATCCATAGAATCACAGGTCCCATCTACACTGCCATATAATGCTGTTTCTAACTGTCTTATGTGGTCAGTGTAAACCAGGCATGGGCAGACTTCGGCCCTCCAGGTGTTTTGGACTTCAACTCCCACTATTCTTAATAGCTGGTAGGCTGTTAGGAATTGTGGGAGTTGAAGTTCAAAACACCCGGAGGGCCAAAGGTTGTCCATGCCTCATATAATGCCATTTAACTGTAGTGATCTGCATTATATGAGTCGACAGTGACTATAAAATGCAATTTCAAATTGCATTACAGTATATGGCAGTGCACATGGGGCCATGGAGCCCCCAGTAGCACAATGGGTTAAACCACTGAGCTGCTGAACTTGCGAACTGAAAGGTTGGCGGTTCGAATCAAGGGAGCAGAGTGAGCTCCAACTGTTAGCCCCAGCTTCTGCTAACATAGCAGTTCAAAAACATGCAAATGTGAGTAGATCAATAGGTACCACTTTGTTGGGAAGGTAATGGCACTCCATGCAGTCATGCTGACCAGATGATCTTGGAGACATCTATGAACAACGCTGGCTCTTCGGCTTAGAAATGGAGATGAACACCACCCCTCAGAGTCAGAAATGACTAGACTTAATGTCAAGGGGAAACCTTTACCTTTACCTACATAGAGCCACAAAATTAAAAGAGTTGGAAAAGACCACAAGGACCATTCAGTCCAACTCCATTCTGCTAGGCAGGAATACATTATCAAAACACTGAAATCCTGAGAAAGAACAGGAAGAAATCCTCAGATTTGTCTATTAAATCAGGCCTCAACTGATACAGCGAAGCAGGGAGTTGTGTGCAGAAACCAGATTTCCAAAGAACAGGAAACAAAAGGAGGATATGGATGAGGTAAGTTTGCTGAAGTTACTTCGGCAAACAAGAATATAAAGTTTAGGACACATAATCATGTCAGGTCTTCCCTTTACACCACATTGAGCTCACCTTGAAGAAATTGTGGCTGGCAATGCCACTCCCATGTCAGTTTAAGAATATTGTGTGTGACATTAATGTGGGCCAGGAAAATGTGAGTTTGATATCGAGCTCTTTTGGGGGGCCCCTCCAGGGAGGAGAACCCAAGGACCGCACCAAAGAGAGTCCTGGATACCTTGGTGAGATTTTTCCGGAAGCCAATCCAAGAGTGCCAAAAATAATTAAAATCAAATAAGCTCACCAGGCGAAAGGAGTCCAGCGACCGAGGCGTTTATTTGCGATTCAGCTGAATGGATGCAATACAGGAATCATTCCACTGCAAAGCATGCAGCACAAGAGTTTCCAGGCATTTTTATACAGTGTAGAACAAAAGAAAGCAGTTTGAAAATCCCGCCCGCCCCCTGACAGCCGGCTTCACTCTGATTGGCTGAGGCTGGAACAGCTGGGAGGAGGCTTGGCAGCCCGCCTCCGTCAGGAGCCAATGGGAGCGTTTCCCCGCCTCGGGAGGGCCAATGGGCGCCCTCCGCTCGCTTCCTGGGTTCTGGCCAATCAGGAGCGAGGAGGCGTGACGGCCGCGGACAATGGGGGAAAGATGATGGGATTTGGGATTTCCTGCCCGCTGGAATGCGGGCCATTGTCCAAGGCGGGAAGAGGGTGATGTTTGTCAAACAAAGGCTTTCCTGTTCTTGATGAGTCTGGCAAGGAATTTGAATAGCTGGATCGATACCGGACCGCCCGGAGGATCAACAGTATCTGGGTGATTTAATCAGTCCTTTCTTTCCGGGGCTCTGCTGACCAAACCCTCCTTCGTTGGCCTTGCTCCGATGACGAAATCGGGGGCCAGCAGCATTGTCCATGCAAAATGAGTCAATCAATGGGTGATTTGGGGGGAAAGAGGCTTGGGCTCTTTCCCTCAGGCAGTTCCTGGTCATGCTGGCTTTATGGGGTAAGGGGTCAAGGGGGTGAAGATACAGGGGAGTTCATTGAGGGATACATATTTCATATTTATAAAATACAGGCATCACCAATATACAGGCATTTCATGTATCACAACCCACCACCCATCCCAATCCATTACATTTTAAGAAAATATTTTATTTATTTCATAAAGAAGAAAGCAAGAAGTCCCGAAAGTCCGGACGGAGGGGTTTGGATGCAGGGGCCAGCCTATGGTTTAGGCTGGCCATCAGAAGATCAGTTCACTTGTGAAACAGGAGCTGGAGCTGAAGGGGGAGCTACGTTCCACGGACCCGTCCTTGGTGGAACTAGCGCTCCCAACCGGGGATCGGGCCTCCCCTGCCCGATCCCCACTTCCAAGGCTTCCCCTTGGGCCACGGCGGTGGATCGCAGGCGGCAGGAACCATGCTGGAGCGAGCGGCAGCAGTGGAAAGGACCAAGCGGCAAAAGCCGGCGAAATTTTGACAATCAGCTGGTGACTCGGCCGAATTTAATGATTAAACAAAAACAATTATTTCACGAGTGCAGGAGTCCAAAATGAGAAAACCAAGATAGCAGTTAGTCTTAGAAGTTAATGTAGAAAAATATAAAATTTGAACGGGCCCGATCCGCCATGTTGTTGTTTTGGCGGATAAGGGGGGCCAATAGGAAAACCTCCGTATCCGCGATTTGGACTAACGCAAATTCGGAGGCCTGGGGAGGCCAGGAAGGCGTCCCCAGTGAGCTCACGGTTCCCCGGAGCCCAGGAAAAAGTTTATTGTGGGTTAGAAAAGTTGCAGTCAGTAAAAGGACACAAAGTATCAAGCGGAAAGGATTTAAAGTTTCAAAACTTAAGTGTTTTATTAAGGGATTTGTTACAAAGAGAGGGAGAGGGGAAAGTGAAAGAAAGGCTTCATGCAGTCCTTCGCTTTGAGCTGCTGGCTGGGGCACGTTTCATCAGTCGGACCCAACTTTGCCCTACGGAACTGCGGAACTCCCTGCTGCGGTTCAAACCAACTTGAAGGCGGGAGATTCTGCTACCTGGGGGGTCATCAAGTTTAGTCTGAATAGTTAGCACTCAACTTACTGGCAGGAGAGGAGAGGAGTGGAGGGACAGCCTTTCGCACTTCTCGGACAAAAGCAAACTGCTACAACCTCTTCCGTGTAATACATTGGTCATAATTAATAACTTTTTCCATCATCATCAAACTCTTAATGTTTCTTGACAATCATATGTCCCCATTTTCATCTGTGAAATATTCAAGAATATGTTGGAATTGACCCAAATTATATTAAGGTCACTGTTTGCTCCTTATACTTGGTGTGATACCTTTGTAAAATCACAAATGTCTTCTTATAGGTTTCTCCTAGGGGCATACATGCTGTTGATTTAATGTCATTAAACCCCATTTTAACTGACAAGGCTCAATGATGTGGAACCAATTTAACAAGGTCTTTAGCCTTCTCTCTGACAAAGAGTTCTGATGCCTCACGAAACTACAAATCTCGCAGGTCCATAACATTGCGCTATGGCAGTTAAAGTGGAGTCAAGCGGCATTCATCCTGCAGTGTAGATGCAGCTTGATATTAATTGCACTGATTGGTGATCCCACTTGTTTTCCCTTCAAAAATATATTTATTGCAGAAGCAAACACAAGCAGGCAGAAAGAAAATGGTGGCTGCATTCAAAGAGCTGCATCGGTTTTTGGAAGAACAAGAGAAGCTTCTGCTCTCTCAGATGGAAGAGGTGGAGAAGGAGATTGCTAGCAGAAGAGACAAGCACATGGCCAATTTGTCAGAGGAACTCTCTAGTCTTGAAAATATCATCAGAGAGATGGAGTTGAAGTGTCTTCAGCCAGCAAGTGAATTTCTGCAGGTAAGTGGAAAGGTGGCTTTTAAAATTTTGTGTGCATCTGTCATTTATACAAGTTGTGCCATGGATAGGTCTATTAACATGATTGAGCACTGAAATGGAAAACTGATGACTTGTTTGATCTAGTTGTACAGTTGGCCATATTTGCAGGGGTGGTTTTTGTGAATTTTATATATTTGTGTGATTTTGATTAAAATGTTGCAATTCCAAGGAAGTTGCATTATAGTTATGCTGGAGGACCTACAGACTCCTAGAGAAATCTTTTCAGGGGGAAAAAATACCAATTTGTTATTTGCATATGGGTTCCCCCCCCCCCCCACTTTC